CGGGGGTCGCCTGAGCCTCCCGGCTGTCCCGGGGCCCCTCCCGGCGGGTCGGGGCCGACTCCCCTCCTGGTCGGGGGGCGCCGGGGGACCCGCGAGGCTCAGGCAGCCCCCAGGCGGTCCGCGGGGCGGGGGCGGCGGCTCCCTCGGGCCGGAGGGAGGGTCGCCTTTGCCCCGCGGAGCCCCCCCGTTGTAGGTGTCCCTTCTCTGACCTGACCTCCCCCCTGCGGGCGGCTGTGCGTGTCCGCGAGTGTTGGGGGCCTCGGGAGCTGCTGCCCACCTGCCGCGGAGGTTATTTCGGGCTCCTGAGCTCATCCGTTAACTTGGGGAATTCTTGCTTTCGGTGTCAGCAGCGCTGCTGGCGTCACTCGCCGCCTCCCCCGGGCAGCAACCCAGCCGCCCGGAGGAGATTGGCAGCCCCCCCCCCCCCGTCCTCCGGAGCCTGGGCTGTGCTGGGGAGCAGCCGGGAACCCCGGGAGGGTCTGGCCCCCACGAGTGGGGGCCGTTGTGGGTGCTGGGTGGGAGTGGGGTCTCCCCAGAGAATGCCTTGGCTGCCTTCTTTGGCGCCCCTGGGTCCCCCCACTCTGATTGCAGCGCCCATCATCCCCAGCCTAAGCTGGAGTGCGATAGTGGGGCAAGTGATTGCATGGAGGGTGGGGATGAATGGGTCCAAAAGGGACAATGTCGGATTGGAAGATGTGCTGTGGGCTGGCAGACAGGTCTGTGTGTGTGTTTGTGTGTGTAGGTTTTCCTACCCCCCCCCCCCAAATTTCTGAAATCCAGCAAAATGGTGAATTCAACTCCCGTGAGCGTTTTTCAGGTGCCCCTTTCCGGCCTTTGGTGCCCCGATGAGAGAAAGGTGGGGAGGTTCAGTGGGACCCTGGAGCTGGGGAGGGAGGGGAGGGGGTGCAGCTCTGCTTGGCTTCACTGTCTCCAGAGGTGGGTTTGGGGGGTGCCGCCAAGGGAGCCTCCACCCCAAGCATCCTCAGCTGGCCTGGCCGGAGATGGTCCGAGCTTGGCTGGCATCACCTTCCTGGCCTTGGGATGCCAGTCGTTGCAATCCCCAGCCTCCTCCGTGCCTTCGGGCAGCCCTTCCCTGCGGTGGCGGGCTCCCATTTGGGAGTTTTTTTAAAAATAGCCTGCCACCATGGCAAGATGTCTCCGTCTCACAGCTCCGTCCTCTGCCGTCTCTGCCGGTACATGCTGGGAACATGTCCCTGCGTGAACCCCGGGCTGAGCGCTCGCTCGCTCGCTCGAGGAAGGGTTCTCGTAAGGCAACCTGCTGGCGTCTCGTCTGGGGAGAAGAGCCTCTCTTCTGGCTGGCAGGCTTCCGCTGCTTCTGCTGCTGCCGGCGGTGGAAGTGGCGATGGCCGGGAGAGGCTGCGGGGTCCCGTCTGCTTCCCCCCGCCGGCCTCCTTGTGGGCAGGAGGGGGCTGTCCGGGCAGGGCCCACGTGGTGCCCTTCAGAGGCCAGCTCCGCCGGTGCCGCCCCTTGTCCGCTGACCTGGGTCTCTCCCTCCCTCCCTGGTGCAGGAACAAGGAGTCCACGGCTGGCCCGGTCTCGGCCATGGGGAAGGACTACTACAAGGCCCTGGGCATCCAGTCGGGGGCCAACGAGGATGAGATCAAGAAGGCCTACCGCAAAATGGCCCTCAAGTATCACCCGGACAAGAACAAGGACCCCCACGCGGAGGACAAGTTCAAGGAGATCGCCGAGGCTTACGACGTGCTGAGCGACCCCAAGAAACGGGCTGTTTACGACCAGTACGGAGAGGAGGGTAAGCGGGACTCAAAGGCTTCTCCCTGGACCCCGCGGCAGCCCCTCCCCATTCACTGTCAGGGGAGGGGGAGGGCTCTCGAGGTCAGGGGGGGGTAGATACAGACCCCTTTCTGCCTGGGGTCCCTGGAACGGGATTGACAGGGGGTCCTGGCTCCTTCTGCCGGGGGTCTTTGCAGGATGGGCCCGAGGGAGGAGGGGGGCCGGCATCTCCTGCTTCCTTTTCAGTCCATGTTGCTCTCTCTGTGTGTGAGTGTGTGTTTGTGTTTGGACCTGAAGAGCCTTTCCCAATTTTAGTAATCCTTTCCTAAGCTATCCTGGGCCGTGTGGCAACTTTTGGCAGGCTGTTTTGTTGTCGTTACCCGGCAGCCGGGAATAACTTAAAGAGCCCAGCAAAAAATCCAGGGACGAAATAAACAAATGGAATAGTTCTGGGCCTTCTGCATTTGCTGCAGGAGGAAAGAATTTGGGGCACAGTTGTCTGTCCTGGAAATTTCCTTCCTTGCAAATAAGCACATTGCAAATATCTGATCTCTTGTGCGTTTTGCAGGGTTTGAGAAGCGGGAGGGAGTGTGTGTGTGGGGGGGCAGCAGGCAGAGTCTCTAGGGGAGCAAGAGAGGCCACCGAGGCCGCTGTGGGCCCCTCCCCTCCCAGGGCTCCTTGGCTCCTTTTCCTGCTCCTGGCCTTTTGGGGAGCAGGCAGCTCTTAGGGCTGGAGGGCTCCTGGGGGGAGGGGGGGAGCCAGAAGCCTGGGAGGGGAGGGGGAAAGTAAAGTTGGCCTCTTCCTTGGGAAAGTTTTTTTGGGGGGGTCAGGGTCTAAAAATAAACCCCTTTGCTCTCATCTGTGAGTGGGCGTTCTAATTATGTCGGAGCAGTGACTGACAAGGCCTGATTGCTCCGAGGTCCAGCAAGAATTGAGGTTGGGGGGGGGAGGAGGGGAGAAATCCATTCACACATTTCTCAGAAGAATTTAGTCAGCAAGGAGTGAGAGTTGAATGGAGAATGTGCCCCCCCCCCGTCCCAATTTAGCCTGTTAATCAGAGAATGCCCACAGGAGGGGTGTGGGGGGGGAGGAAACAGTTTGGTCACAAAGTGGGAGCATTATATTATTAGTGGCAGCCCCTCCCCTCCCTTTGCCCCTCCCCCTTTTCCAGCTGAGTGCTCCCACCCCTCAGAGGGCCGGGGTGGGGGTGGGGGGCTGCTGTTTCTGCTCCACTCTTATGGGAAGCCGGCAGCTGCTGAAACAGCTTCCAGGAATGGCTGCCCCCATCTCCCTCCTGGCCTTCTGCCCCCTGCTTGCTCTGAGAATCCGTGGGCTCTGCTAGGGAAGCCCCCTTTTAAATGGGCAGCTGGGCTGGGAGAAAGA